GAAGGTTTAAGAAGTCCTCAGAGACCAGGTCTGAAGGTTTTAGAAGTCCTCAGAGACCAGGTCTGAAGGTTTTAGAAGTCCTCAGGAGACCAGGTCTGCAGGTTTTAGAAGACCTCAGAGACCAGCTCTGAAGGTTTAAGAAGTCCTCAGAGACCAGGTCTGAAGGTTTTAGAAGTCCTCAGAGACCAGGTCTGAAGGTTTTAGAAGTCCTCAGGAGAGCAGCTCTGAAGGTTTTAGAAGTCCTCAGAGACCAGGTCTGCAGGTTTAAGAAGTCCTCAGAGACCAGGTCTGAAGGTTTTAGAAGTCCTCAGAGACCAGCTCTGAAGGTTTAAGAAGTCCTCAGAGACCAGGTCTGCAGGTTTTAGAAGTCCTCAGAGACCAGGTCTGCAGGTTTAAGAAGTCCTCAGAGACCAGGTCTGAAGGTTTTAGAAGTCCTCAGAGACCAGCTCTGAAGGTTTAAGAAGTCCTCAGAGAGCAGGTCTGGAGGTTTTAGAAGACCTCAGGAGACCAGGTCTGAAGGTTTTAGAAGACCTCAGAGACCAGGTCTGAAGGTTTTAGAAGTCCTCAGGAGAGCAGCTCTGAAGGTTTTAGAAGACCTCAGAGACAGGTCTGAAGGTTTTAGAAGACCTCAGAGACCAGGTCTGGAGGTTTTAGAAGACCTCAGAGACCAGGTCTGAAGGTTTTAGAAGTCCTCAGAGACAGGTCTGAAGGTTTTAGAAGACCTCAGAGACCAGGTCTGAAGGTTTTAGAAGACCTCAGAGACCAGGTCTGAAGGTTTTAGAAGACCTCAGAGACCAGGTCTGATGGTTTTAGCTGTGTCTCATTGGGTTCTGATGGAGTTATCCAGCTGGTCTACAGTCCAGGATGGGACAGAAGACCTAAAAGTTGTTGATACTTCCCAGACATCCCAGATGTTCCTGCCAGAGGGACTAATGCACCCCTATACCACCAGAGAGGCAGGATTTTGACCTGTGAGCTGTGGGCAGCCTGTATGTTCCTGCTCCTCTTTAGTCTGGCCCCAGAACAGTTCTGGTCTCGGTCCATTTGAATCATCTTTGGTTCTGGATGGTGTCCACCAGTTCTTTGTGTGATAGAGCTTTAAGCAGCATTAGTGGACTGTGTTTCCAGTCCTGAGTCAATGCACTGAGTTCCAGACCAGAACAATGAGGTCCATGTCCTCCACATTAACCCTTCACATGCTGAACACAGGCCTTCAATCATTGGTCTGTGGACCGTTCCTGTGGAGGAGAACCTGAGATCAATTCTGTTAAACAACCAATGAAGGTTTCTGTAGGACTTCACTGAGACGTGTCGATTCAGATCATCTGAGCTTTTATTACCAAACTCCAGCTTCCTGCTTCTGTTCTAGATCTTTAAAAACTGAAGTCTTTCTGGTAAAAGTGCTGAAAAGGTGAATCTGAAGGAAACGGCTGAAGTGAAGACATGAAGGTAGAGGAGCTGGCTGAGGAAACAAACAAGACAGGAAGGAGTGTGTGTGTGTGTGTGTGTGTGGGGGGGGTTCCACAAACCAGTCCCATCAACATCCTGTTTGTTTCAGAGTGTCCTGATCAGGCCCACAGACCCTGCAGGGGCCGGGGGGTCTGCTCCGATGGACTGGGGGGCAACGGGACCTGCAGCTGCCAGGTGATACATCTACCTGTTCACACACACCTGTTTACACACACACATCTGTTTACACACACATCTGTTTACTCACACACCTCTTTACACACACACATGTTTACACACACCTGTTTACACACATACATGTTTACATCTCACACCTGTTCACACACACCTGTTTACACACATACCTGTTTACATCACACACCTGTTTACACACACACCTGTTTACACGCATACCTGTTTACATCACACACCTGTTTACACACATACCTGTTTACATCACACACCTGTTTACATCACACACCTGTTTACACACATACCTGTTTACATCACACACCTGTTTACACACACACCTGTTTACACACATACAGTACCTGTTTACATCACACACCTGTTTACACACACACACCTGTTTACACACATACCTGTTTACACACACACCTGTTTACACACACACCTGTTTACATCACACACCTGTTTACATCACACACCTGTTTACACACACACACACCTGTTTACACACACACACACCTGTTTACACACACACACCTGTTTACACACACACCTGTTTACACACACACACACCTGTTTACACACACACACCTGTTTACACACACACCTGTTTACACACACACACACACCTGTTTACACATACACACCTGTTTACACACACACACCTGTTTACACACACACACCTGTTTACACACACACCTGTTTACACACACACCTGTTTACACACACACACACCTGTTTACACACACACACCTGTTTACACACACACCTGTTTACACACACA